AAAAAAAAAAAAATTTAGATATCAAGGCTGTCCCTGGTGGGTCACACCTGTAATCCTAGCATTTTGGGAGGCAAAGGTGATAGATCATTTGAGGCCAGGAGTGTGACTGTCCCGGGCAATGTAGGAGAACCTATATCTACAAAAAGTAAAAAAAAAAAAAAAAAAATTAGCTGGGCATGGCAGTGCATGCCTACAGTCCCAGCTAATTCCAGAGGCTGAGGCAGCAGGATTGTACAGAAGTTTGGAGATGTAGTGAGCTATGACTGTGTCACTGTACCCCAGCCTGGATGACAGAGACCCTGTCTCTAAAACAAAACAAAAAAAATTGAAAACAAAATTTAGATACTAGTTTAAAACGAGGCAAAAGGGTATGTAGCTTAGAAAAACACACTTGGGGCTCGGCACCTGTGGCTCAAGTGGCTAAGGTGTCAGCCACATACACCTAAAGTGGCGGGTTCGAATCCAGCTCGGGCCCACCAAAACAATGATGGCTGCAACCCAAAAAATAGCCAGGCGTTGTGGCGGGTGCCTGTGGTCCCAGGTACTTGGGAGGCTGAGGCAGGAGACTCGCCTGAGCCCAGGAGTTGGAGGTTGCTGTGAGGGTGATGCCATAGCACTCCTCCCAAGGGGATAGCTTGAGGCTCTGTCTCAAAACAAACAAACAAACAATAAAACGAAAAACACACTTGGTATTTTGGAGAGAAGACACCGTTCAGGACAACTAATCTCTGGCAGAGATCCCTGACAGGGCTGATCCCTCTCCTGCACAACTAACAGGCACTCCAACTCCTTGGGTCCAAACAGAGATCCTCATGGTGCTCCCAAATCCATTCCCCCACCAATCTTCTCATCTTAAGAGATGATGCCAGAAAACCACGAGATGAAACTAACATTTTACAGCCACCTGATTTTGATAAACCAAACAAAAATATACACTGGGAAAAAGAATCCCTATTCAATAAATGGTGATGGGAGAATTGGATAACCACATGTAAAAGACTGAAACTGGACCTGCACCTCTAACCACTTAAGAAAATTGATTCAAGATGGATAAAAGATTTCAATCTAAGGCATGAAACAATAAAAATATTCAAAGAAAGTGTGAGGAGAACACTTGAAGATATAGGCCTGGGGAAAGATTTTATGAAGACTTCTGTGGTAATTGCAACAACAAAAATAAACGAATGAGAGTTAAACTGAAAAGCTTTATACAGCAAATGAAACAACACCCTTCAGAATGGGAAAAGAGGCAGCGCCTGGGGCTCAAGGAGTGGGGCGCTGGCCCCATGTACCAGAGGTGGTAGGTTCAAACTCAGCCCCGGCCAAGAACTGCAACCCCCCCCCCCAAAAAAAAAACAAAAAACAGAATGGGAAAAGATATTTGTATATTATGAATCAGACAAAAACTTGAGCTAGGATCTATAGATAACTCAAATTAATCAACAAAAAAAGACCCAATGATCCCATATATCACTGGGCAAGAGACATGAATAGAACCTTCTCTAAAGAAGATAGACAAATGGCTAACAAGATAGGAAAAAATGTTCATTGTCCCTAATAATCAGAAAAATGCAAATCAAAACTACCCTGAGATATCATCTAACCCCAGTAACAATGGCCCACATTACAAAGTCTCAAAGCTGCAGATACTGGTGTTGATGGGGAGAGAAGGGAACACTTTTACAGTGATGGTGGGACTGCAAACTAATACAACCTTTTTGGAAGGAAGTATGGAGAATCCTCAAAGAACTCATATTAGACCTCCCATTTGATCCTGCAATCCCATTACTAGGCATCTACCCAGAAGAAAAAAAAGCCTTTTATCATAAGGACATTTGCACTAGACTGTTTATTACAGCTCAATTTATAATTGCCAAAATGTGGGAACAGCCTAAATGCCCACCAACCCAGGAATGGATTAATAAGCTGTGGTATATGTATACCAGGGAATACTATTCAGCCACTAAAAAAGATGGAAACTTTACATCTTTTGCATTAACCTGGATGGAGGTGGAATACGTTCTTCTTAGTAAAGCATCACAAGAACAGAGAAGTAAGAGTCCAGTGTACTAGGCTGGATACCTATAGCTTAGTGGTTAGGGCGCCGGCCACATGTACCAGGGCTGGTGGGTCTGAATCTGGCCTGGGCCTACTGAAAAAAAAAAAAAATCCGGGTGTTGTGGCAGGTGCCTGTAATCCCAGCTACTCAGGGGGCTGAGGCAAGAGAATCACTTGAGCCCAAGAGTTGGAAGTTGCTGTGAGCTATGATGTTACGGTACTCTACTGAGGGTAACAAAGTGAGACTCTGTCTCAAAAAAAAAAAAATCCAATGTACCCTATTCTAATACAAAGGCAACAGATGAGGTAATACAAGGGGTGGGATAGGGGCATGAGGGAGCAGGAAGAGGGTAAGAGAAACTGGGATGAGGGGGTCACAGTGAGTGTATGGCATACCTCTTGGGGGCGGACATTTGACTTTAACAAATGCAACCAGCATAACCTAATTCTTTGTACCCTTAATGAATCTCAAATAAAAAATAATTAAATTTTAAAAAGAGATGATGCCAACCTTACCCATGTGCCCCAGCCCACACCAAGTATCAGCCTTTCAGCCTTTGTTCCTATTATGACACTGACTCCTGGGCATCTTGCTAGCTCTCCTGCCAAGTAAGTTTCCCATGAGTTTGCTTCTCTGCAAGTCCACAGCTACTTCCTCAATCCAGGCCACCCTCTCCTTCACTTCTCTCCTTCCCCACACAGAGCCATTCTCTGTGCTGCAACATTTCTGCATTAACTGCAAGAGAAGGTGAGATGCTGAAAGCAGCTCCAAGGACCCCACAAGTTTGGCCCCTGGAGATGTCTCCGAGACAAGTTTGTACTGTACTCACATCTCTACCACTCTGGCCTTCTCTCTGCTCCCTGAACACCTGAAGCTTGGGCCTGCCTCACAGTTGGCTGTGCTCTCTACTGGAAACACCAATACCTATCTCTGTGCACAACTGACTCCTTGTTACCTGAGTCTCAGCTTAAATGCCACCTTTCCTGAGAGGATACCCCTAGTTGTTGCTAGTCATGTACTTACTGTAGCCACTTCTTTCAGCATGTCACTAAATACTATCTGCTGGCCCTTCCTTTATGAGTTTTCTTATACCTAGAAAGTGTGAGAAAGTTACAGCAGGCATAGAGCACACGGTTTTTGCCTAGAGGACTCAATGACCTGGGAAGCCCACATTTCGAAAGGAGGGTTGATCCAGGAAACTATGGATTGAGTTTTTTCCCATGCAAAATGAAACAAAACCCAGGGAAAAACACACATATTTGACAACCATGATGACCTACTTTACTGATCAGGGATGCCTAAATCTCAACACTAACAGGGCCTGAGAAACACTGTTGAGAAATGGGTGGGCAGGCAGAATGTGAGTACCACAGGGGGCTGGCTGTGAGTGACCATCGAAGCACAGCTGCTTGCCTGCAGTCAGCCAGCATCAGGAGGAATGTCACACTATGCTGACAGTTCTTCCCATTTTTCAAGAGAATCCAGAAATTTGGATTCTGTATGCAATCTCTTACTTTCCTTTTTTTTTCTTTTTTTGAGGCTCAGTCTCACTCTTGCTCTCAGTAGAGTGCAGTGGCATCAGCTCACAGCAATCTCAAACTTTGGGCTAAAGCGATCCTCTTGCCTCAGCCTCCTGAATAGCTGGGACTACAAGCACCAGCCCCAATGCCAGGCTAGTTTATTTGTTTTTAGTAGAGATGGGGTTTTGCTTTTGCTGAGGCTGATCTTGAACTCCTGAGCTCAAGGAATCCTCCTGCCTCGGCCTCCCAGAGTGAGCCTCAGGGACCCAGCCACCTCCGGCATATGGGGCCAGCGCCTTACTCCTTTCAGCCATAGGCGCCACACCAATCTCCTACTTTTTAAATGCTGACCTAACTTTTTTTTTTTTTTTTTTT